AAGTCGTGGCACTGGAACTTCGGACGCTCAGCTGCAAGTGCCCTGCTGTTGGATGCATGGCTGCCCAACTGAGCGTCAGGCAACGTGAGGGGTAAACCAGGGCGCTGGGCAACGAGGTCAGGGCGATTCCCCCTTCGCTGGAGACGTGAGAGAAAAACAACCTTCAATGAAGAACATCTGGGATGCTCCGAGTATCTCAAACCCACTGTTCTAAGCTCCCATCATCCGTGTGATCACCGTGGAATCGTGGCTGTTGGTCTTCCAACAGTACAACCACCCCTATCACCAAGTTTATAACCATTGCAACGGTCTCAGGTAGTATATTGCAACTAGCTAATGACGACTCTACGAGTACACTGAACTTGGAGAAGAAAAGGAGAGACGACAGACTCTGGTAGCTCGCAAGCATGCTTATCCTCGTAGGCGCGCTGGTCTGAGCGCGTTGCTAGAAGGTTCGGTGTGCTGTGGGGCGAGTGGGAATAGCTTCATCAGGGGTCTTGGTATTGGCCGAGAGTCGCCGAGGCTCACACTGGGCCCAGCCCGTTACAGGGTTCCCCGTTCCTACATCCGTATTCTCATGTTATATCATATGCCCACGGTCAGGTATACGTCATAGGGTCTGATTATATGTTCATGTTCATGCTCACGTATAGGCCTCTGCTCTAGTACTTAAGGTCTGGTTTTATGTCAGGACCAGGGATGACTTAGGCTTGGCAACTTCCATCTTCAGCGCTGTTGTCAAGTGGAGTGGAAGCAGGGCAGTAGCGCTAGGGGATGTCTCAACTGTGTCTCAGCGATGTAAGAGCAGAGTGCAAGCGATTAGTCTGACATGTTTCAGTATGCGGGAGGGATTCAGGAGGAGGGCTGCGATTCTAGGGCGGAAGATAAGAAGGGAGGGGGGAATCCAGGTGGAAGAGGGGGCCAGAGTTCAGTGTGGTTCCCAATCGACTGGTTGCTCACAGACCGCTACCACGTCGCTCAGTGCTGTCGCCCATTGCTCGTACCTCTTCACTCTGACATTAACTCCCAACGGGACCTCGGGTCCTGACACGAGGTATGCGGGGGTTGGAGGAAGAGGATAGGGTGGTAGAACCGATGTCGGAGGAACAGTCCTTGGTTGGTCAGGCCCAAGCTCAAGGTGCATTTAACGTAGGGGACTGGGAGTTCAATGGTGCTGTCCCTTATCACTCGGCTGATCCCGGTGTTGGTTTGGGGTCCTTCGACTTTGGCGCGTTCTTGCGGTCCGGGGTTTCTTCAGCCGGTCAGGGTTCCTCTGGTGAAACTCCGCCGGCTTCTCAGGGCAGTGGAGGTTCGTAGCTGGTTGCCATGAGTTGTCTTCGGGTCCAAAGTCGAGCCATTTGACGAGATACTCGAGTCGCCCCTTTGTAATGCGTGAATCCAGGATTTCTTCGACGTCCCATTCTTCCGCTTCGTCATCGGCCTCTTCGTGTTGCGCGAGTCGTGCGTTTTAGGTGCTGGTTCTAAAAGTGAAATATAGAAAACGTTCGTCTTGGGCCTCATCGTGGCTGGTAATGACAGTCGGTAGTTGGATGTCGAAATTCGTTCGTCGACCTTGAATGGTCCAATCTTCTTGAAGTCCAGCTTCCTGCTTGGTCGTTTTGTTCGAAGATTTCGTGAAATGAGATAGATCTTGTCTCCCCTCTCTGAGCGAGGTCCCTCGAGCCTATGTTTGTTGTAATATTTCTTCATCCTGTCTCTGACAAACTCGAGTTCTTCCTTGAGCATTGCATGCAGCGTATGTATCTAGTCTGCTTTGACCTTCGCCCTAGGAACTGATCCTTTGGGTCCCTAGCGCAAATCTGCTTCATAGCCGTAGTTCGCAAAGAACGGTGATACCTTCGTGGTCTCGGTTGGCGTCGTGCTGTATACAAGCTGCGCTGCTGGTAACAACATAACCCAGTCATCTTGTTGGTAGTTGACGTATGATCGGAGGTACTGTTCCACGATCTGGTTGAGCCGTTCTGTCTGTCCATCCGTTCGTGGGTGGTAGGCTGTTGAAAGCTTGCTTTTCGTACCCAGGCGTGTCATCAACGCCTGCCAGAACTCCGAGACGAACTTCGTGTCTCGGTCTGTGATCCATTCTTCCGGCCATGCATGGATTGAGGTGATGTACCGATAGACCACGTCTGCGAGCTGCTCTGCTGACCATGCCTCTTTGTACTGGATGAAATATACCCACTTGGTGAGTCGGTCGACCACAGTGAGTATGCTGTCGTATTTCACTCCTATCGCTATGTCCATCGAGAGCGGTAGCTTGGTGATGAAGTCCATCGTCACCGAGTTCCATGGTCCTTGACCCTTTTGCATGGATACAGCTGCTTGGACGCATCTTTTTTCTGGGCTGAGACTCACAAGAATCTCAGCACAGATCAATACACCCTCCCCTTGGACGGCACCAACCCAAACGCCTCCCAAAACTCCCTCGTATCATAACACCGTCCCAACACCTCCATCGCCCTCGGCAATCCCCTCACGCCCTCCTCCCGCATCAACTCAAACACCCACCCCGCCTGCTCACTAACCACCCCCTTATCCCCCGTATCCGCCCAGCCAACCAGCAAAGCCCACCAATCGTACACAAACCCGTCCGTTACCATCCACCTCTGGCCCCTGCCCGAGCGCTCCCACATCTCGTCCCCGCCGTTCAGGATCGCAACAACCACCCGCGCAATATCGGCGCCGTGGATCAGGTGCAGGCTCTTCTTGGTCCGCACAGCCTCCTTGGTGGGCGCGACCCGCTTCGCCCAGTTCCGCACCGTGCGACTGCCGCCCCAGAGGCCGGAGAGGTTGAGCACGCACCCCCCCAGGGAGAGGAGCTCGTCCTCTGCGGCGGAGCGCGGGGTTGGCGTAATGAGCGGGGAGTGGCGGGTTAGCCAAGTAGAGGTAGGATGGGTTGGGGTGGAAAAGGATTGCGGGTCGGAGGATTGTTGCTGCCAGATGCCTGTGCTTCCGAGCTGGATGAAGCGGAATGTATCAGTATTGTCGTCGGTTGTCGCTGTGGCGGTGCGGTGTGTTTCGGAGTAGGCGGACACCAGGACCTTGCTTGGGCCGGTACCGACTATTGGAAATGTGATGAGGATGTAGCGCGCTCGGGGCAGAGTGGCGATGGCGGATCGTATTTCGTCCTCAGGTACGGACGGCTCGAATTTGAAAAGGATCGTGGGCACGCCGGCAACCGGGTGGCCCGTCGTGGTTGTCGCCGCGAATGGGATCTTGCGCGATTGGAGCAGCGGAATGAGAAAAGTAGCGGTCCAGCCTGCGCCGAGAATAAGGAGGCTGAGTTCTTCCATTTTGCGTGAGTACAAGTCGTGCTTGAGTCGCTTAAAATGGCCACAAGTTGGTGGCAGTCACTGAGGTTTGAGTTTGGACATTGGAATGATCCGAATGAATCATGATTCATAAATGGGATAAAATGAAGCGGAAAGGCCCACAAGCATGTCCGGCATTGTCCGCATGAGGGCCCCACATTGGACGCAAGCAGCCAGTCATCTTACATGGCCAGCAAGCTGTGCCATCACCCTTCATAGGTCGCAGATTCATCAGTTCACCGAGTGTTATCTAACATTTGAACCGTTAAATCGTTGAGGTTATGACGGACACTTCCGTCCGCTCTTGATAGAATCGAACGGGACAAACCTCAACCGGTATCATTGCGCTGCTGCCGAATTCTATCATTCGTTTCAATTGAACCCGAAAACTATCAAGTTTAACAAATGTCAACTTCACGAGCTCAAATTTCGGACCTAGGGACCTAGGATGCCAGAAGCGGCCGTCATGTTTCGTTCAACGCGGAGCATGTACTTGGACCACGCTGCGGAAGATCAATCCCCAGACAACCAAAGCCTCCCCACTCTCTTATTGTACTGACACTCCCTCCGAGTACCCCTGGGCTACCATCACCGACGCCTGAGCTCACCCCATGTCTGCGACGTCCCGTTCTGACACCATATGTCCTGACTGTCACTTCACCTATTACATAGCCGCAAGCAGGTACTTTATACCCTCCCACTGCTCAACCGAGGACGGCAAGATCTGCGAAGCCGGGAGGACGAACCCATTCCCCGAGGAGCTCGTCGGCCGGAGCTCGATGGTCCACGCCAACTCGGACTTGGCTACATCCGTCAGGTAGTCGGTGCTGGACCCGGTCGTGGTGTACAGCGTCGAGCAGGACGGGCCGTACGTGAAGCGTGTGCCGTAGGGCTTGGCGATTGCCGCGGCCACGGACGACGCGAGTGAGTTCTGGCGTGCGTGGTTCGCCGCCCGCGCCTGGCAGTTGTAGCCGTAGGGCAGCAGGATGTACTGCCCGTAGCTGTGCCAGTCGATGTAGAGCTTGATGCCCTTGCCGTTCGCGAGGGTCTGGGTGAAGTTGACCAGGGCCTTGTTCTCGGGCGTGTCGCCGGCCGCCTGGCCCTTGTATGTCTCGCTGCATGGGTTGGTGGACGCGCCCCCGGGAAGCTCCCACTTGTAGGGCCAGTTGCGGTTCACATCGGTCCCCACGCAGCTGGAGGTGGATCGCGTCTGCCGGTTCTTGCGCCAGAGGCGATCACTCGTCTGGCTGTACACGAAACCTGTTGCACTTATTAAATCTCGGGAATGTCATGAGGGTTCAGGTAAGGGTTGTTTACCGTCAGGGTTGACGAAGGGCAGAATGTAAAAGTCATAATTGTTGAGGATGGCTGTCACTGCTGTATCGTTGTTGTACTCGACCAAGAGCTGGTAGGTAATGTACTCGACAACCTGAAAATGGTTCAGTACTGGAGACAGTCAATCGGGAGCGTTCTTACCTTGGCAGTGATCCATTCTCTGGCGTGGACAGTGCCGTGGAAGTACACTGCGGGCTTGGATCCCTTCCCGCCGCTTCCCCAAAGATGGATCCCAAAGATGTTCCGGCCCTGGACGGACTTTCCAACGTTGAAGATCTCCGAGTTTTGGGGGTACGCAGCCTGAAGGTCATTGAAGAAAGTGATGTGATCGTTGTACGCATGGTACGAGTTGAACCACGTCAGGCTCGGGACAGCCTGGGCCGAAACCCCTGCGTCGAGTCAGGCTTTGATACACATCAAACTCAATGGGGACGAAGACTAACTCTCGTATGAAGCAAGGGGTCCTTCTTGGGCAATGTCGGCACCAAGATCTTGGCTCATCACCTCGGTACTCAGACCCAAAATTTCAAAAGCCGGTATCTCGTCGGGAGCAATTGCAACATCAAGCGCCTGATTCGGATTGAAGTTGAAGTTGTTGAATTGCACTGCGGCAAACTTGGCAAGTTTGTTCCTGATGGAGGCAGCATTTTGCCCGGATGAGATGCGGTAAGCTTTGTATCCGTCGTATGAAATGTGCGCATTCGGCTTCGGTGCTGCCGCGGCGAGTGCCAGCGGAGCAAGGAGGAGGGCGGCTGTCAGTTTCATTACTGTCTCGGGACGATGGCTGATCAAAGGAAACTGGCCATCAAGAGGACAGTTTCTTCCTACTTTATATCTCAGAATCTAATCTGAGGAGGTTAGGAGTTAAGCTCCTCGTGGCGGTTTACAGGGAAGTTGCCAGATCACGGCGCATCCCCTACAGGGGCAGTTATGGCACTGAACTGGGAGGTGGCATTCAACGCCCCAAGAGATCTATGCACATAGATCAGCACGCAACATGGCGTGCATGGCGGGAAGTGAGCGTTTCCCGTCTAGGCAACAGCAATGCCGAGAATGGCGGCTGCCAAGGTGTGATTGAACTGCCGTACCAGGTAAGGAGAGTGACATTGGGGGGCAACCGAAGCGACGACAATCCTATCAGTAACCGGAGACTTCATGCGACCTTCCCAAAGCAGAGAAATGAGAGATTAGCAATGCCGTTCTGCATTGAACATGCAATGCTAACCGTGTAAATATGACAATCCTCGCGAGGCCTTACACGGCTGGCCACTTCGGATGCTCTTCAACCGGACCATGAACCGCTGACAACATATGTCATGTTTATGTCGCCACAAGGCAAAAGACGACTAACGCCGACAGCATGTCGTTGGCATTGAACCGGAAGATCAACAGCAAGACAAAGCATTCAGCGACAAGATAAAAGATGTAGGCCTCGCTCATGCCCAAAAGGACCTGATAGCCATACACGTTGGCGAGCGGGGTGTGCTGGGTGATGGTGTAGAGCGGAGCGACGCCGGGGATGCAGAGCGCGCCGGCGAAGAGGAACCAAGGGCGTAGCCGCCCGTCCTGCCGGCAACCCAGCCCCGAGACGATGGCAATGACGCTTTGGAGCAAGAGGTAGGGAAGGATGCGCACGCCCGCGAAGATAGTGCTGTCGGCCTTGATTAACTGGAAGTAGTTGAACTGCCGGATGACGGCCGCCAGGATATTGGCCGCGATGGTGTTTTTCGGTGGTGAAGAGAGAGTTGGCCATGAGCACGGCCGCGACGATCATGAGCCACACGAAGCCGTGTGCAGTTCGGGGAGACGACGGCGGGGTCTCAAGTGTAAGCTCATCGGTGCTGGGAACGAAACCCTTTTCGGTCTCGGAGTTGTCTGTTTATGTGGGCATGTCTGTTAGCGCTGGTTTTCGTTCAGCTACAATGGCCATGGTGTGGTGTATCGGCACAGGTGATGCCCAATCGGCTTCAATGCTGACCTGCTTCCGCTGCTGATGCTGTAGCGGTAATGGTAGTGAGGGAGCAGTGAATAGGATTTGCTGTTGGCTTGGTCAGTCCAAACTTGAGTGCTGGCGTGAGTCAAGTGATTTCAGCCGACTTCAACTGTCCTTGACGACAGCAGGAATAGCTTCGAGGTGGTTCACGGCGTATTAATAACCTTGAGAGATTCAGGGAGAACCTTTGTGAAGGTTCTAAAGAACCCTTTTCGCCTCGGAATGCGGTTTGACCAGTTTGTAAGCAAAGCCGATGGCATCTGGGTAGGCACAATGTCGGTCGAAGAAGCACACACACTGCAATGCCGCAAGCGACGGGAGCCACATCGGCCGACCATTCTTGGCCATCGGAACCCAAGCCGCTGTCCACTCTTGCCGGAAACTTGTAAGCAGATTCCTCAGCGGGGCCATGGCATGCCATACTGAGGGGCTGTTTTCGACGCCGCCAACAGCAACATCAAAGAGGAAGCGCTGTGTAGGGATATTGGGCCCCTGTCCAGCGGGCGTAGAGTAGATGCTTAGGTACTGTAGCTACCTACCTACAGTGGGGTTCCAAAAGTCTGTTACCAGCCCATCCACTTTACGCGTCTCCTCGTGTTGGAAAGCCAACAGCCACAATTCCACGTTGACACACTTTATGAGAGCCATTAAAACAGTGAACCTTTTCGAGTGCTTAGGACCAGCCCAGAATCTGTCGATTGAGTTCTCTTCGTCTCCTCAAGTTATCTGGCTACCTCGCAGACCTTATGTAACAGCTGTGTATTACCCCTGACCAGGTACGACACCGGCAACCCAGTTCCCGAGTTTCAAGTGCCATCACTTCCAACACCTCGACACGTCCACCACCACCCTCGGATTTTCACACGACCACAACTCTCTAAATGGCATGCAATTTGACCGATTTGGGCCGCATCTTAACGGCTGATTGCAAGAAACATGAGGAATTGAGCCCTGCTGCACATACAGTCATTTGCAGTACGGTCGTAGCTGGGGTTAGCCAACGTACCGTGGCAGCCGCATTCGGTGTATCGCATATCGTTGTGTCTAAGACTATTCAACGCTTTACAACTACCATATCCTTCGATTCCAAGCTAAGGATCGGCCGGCCTTAGGTTCTCACTCGACGAGATAAGCGGCATTGTCCAGGTAGCTAAGCGCAATGCCCAGCTTATATATAAACAGCTCCTTAAGGTCCTAAACCGGAAGGTATCAAGCTTGACAGTGTCACGGCGATTGCGCCGTGCCTGTGTTGGAAGTGAAGGCACTTGAAACTCGGAAACTGGGTTGCCGGTATCGTACCCTGGTCAGGGGTAATACCACATCGTTATTCGATACGCATGACGGAAACCCCTCAGGTGGCATCAACGCCCCAATGTGCTGACAGGGAGTATTCCAAGCTCATGTGTACCCCTGAGGGGGTACAATACAGGTACACTGAAGAAGCCACCAAGATGTGGATTCAAAACCAGGTATATCATCCAAATATTTCTTGAGCGGAACTCTGTCACAAGAGATAGTGCTCTGCTCTGCCATGCAGGCCATGTCTAGATGTAACTGGGCTAACGTTACACAATATGGTTCAATGACACCAGGTTCGCGAGCTGGTCTCCCTCTCGTACCCCCGTAAGATACTCCCAGGATCCCCGTCCATTACAACCCCTTCATCTTTGCACTCCCCTGGGCGACGCGGAATGCTTTAGCAGTCTCGATGATGCTCGTGTAGACAATCCACCCTGGGATGACGATCCAGAACCCATTCATCATGACAAAGTAGACCCAGAAATAGAACGACTCGGGGCGGCAGTAGATCGCGCCGTATACCGACTCATCGAAGAAGAAGATCGCGTAGTAAAGCACGTCGCCGTACAGCTGACCAAGGCTGACCATGATCTGGAGCGGGTGGCGGAAGGGGCTGTCTATGATGACGAGCCAGCCGATCAGAAAGGAGAGGGGTCCCCAGGCGACTGCCGTGACCATCTCCATACAGACCGTAAAGGAATCGCGCGTCAAGTAGCGGCGGTCAGACAAAGCGTATTCCTTCCAGAGCTGTCCGAAGAGATCTGTACGCGCCGGCATGGTAGCATTGTGGTAAGCGAAGTAGCCTATTGTTGACGCAAGAAGCAGCGTTAGACACGAAGGACACAGTCCAGTTTGACGGGGAATACCAAAGTCATAGCAGACGTACCTTCAAAAAACAGGTGGATGCATCCGCAGACCACAAACCACATGGCCGTGAGCACCTGGCCCTTGCTAATGCCGGGCCGGACCGTACGCGCCACGACGGAAGTAACCGAGCAGACAAAGCCCACGGCACCGGCGAAGGATGCCAGGAGGGTCGGTACTCCGATTTTGTTGGGTACATAGCCAGGCAGGTCCAGATCGGGAGGGTAGTATGGGTGGTCGGCCATCATGGCTTGGGGCCAACTGGAAGCCGACATGTCTGAAAACCTTGCGCACCAGCGCCTAGTAGGTATTGAAACGTTCGATTCGAAGGGAGTGTCTGCTACGGAGTCCAAAGCCACGAAAGTTCGGACGAGAATAAATACGTTGAGGCGCCATCACAAGTTCGGCGACGGAACGCGCGGCCACCGCTCCTTCCATCCCGATGTGGGGCGGCATTTCGGGAAGCCATGTGCCGGATCAGCTCATGCCCCGAATCCCCCGTTGCGTTTGCTTGGCACTTCATCTTTCAACCTCTTTCTCCTTCTCGGCCCTCTTGCACAACACTTCAGGCTGTCCGTGTCACTTGCTCGGCCGGATGAAGTCCCTCCGAAGTTATCACGGAGAAAGGCTGCCGTCACTCGAAAATCGCGGAGCATATAATCTGCCAGGACCCAGGTTGACGATGTAACGACTTTCCATTCCAATAGACCAGGGTTCTAAGGTATTGTAGAGCAGCCCTTTAAAGAAACATCAAAATCCGGCTCCTCAAAGCGTTTCCATTACCGCAACACCACGACCCATCACTTCTCCCGTATCAGCGCCAAAATGACATCCTCCATATCACCCTTGAGCAGGTCCTTGACCTCCTTGGCCAGAGTGACATTGAACTTCTTCTTGTAGGCATCCTTGGCCGCCTGCAGGCGCGCCTGGTCCCAGTACAGGCTCACAACACGGTTTATAAAGAGCCTGTCCTTCCGCTTGGTCAGCGCCTCGCGCAGGCGGAACGCATCCCAGGCGGCGCGGTTTTGCGCGGCCGTCAGCATGCGCAGCAGCGCGTCCTCCATGTCGCCGCGGAACTCCTTCTCGATGACCTCCTGCAACGAGCGGTGGTACTTGCGCTGGTAGGCCTCGGCCATGGCGGTGATCTGCGCCGCGTTGCTGCTGGCAAAGATCTGCGCCACCGACACGGCGTTGGCCCCGAACATGCCCTCGGTCGCCCGCTGCAGCTCCGTCACTTTGGCGTCGATCTCGTACGCCAGCACGGGCGCCGCGTCCTCGGCCCGGTTCGCCGCCAGGATCATGCTGCACAGCCGGAACAGCGCGTCGTCGACGTCGCCCTTGATGTCGACCACCAGGTCGCGCTGCGTCACGCGCTTGTACTCGGCCGCGATGGCCCGGATGTCGGCGTTGGACCGGTTCAGCAGCACGTCCATGAGCGTGTCCTCGTCGGTACCCATGCGGTTGAGCGCCTTGTCGAGCATGTACACGTCGTGGCCGAGCGGCCCGCGCAGGAGCGCGAGGAGCGCCGTCTCGAGCCCGCTGCGCGTCTCGCTCTTGATGTCCTCCTCGAGGCTGCGGATGAAGCGCGTGTTGTAGTCCTGCACCAGCTGCAGCATGGCCCACGGGTTGGAGTAATGTGGGCTCGTCAAGACGCGGATCAGCACCTTCTCGTCGCAGCCCATGCCCTTCATGGCTCTGCGGAGCTGCTCTGCGTCGTTGGCCGTGTTGACGGGCTGGGCCCAAGCTTTTTGCGCGGGATCATAGCCCGGCGACGCCGGCGTGTGTGGCACTGCCGGGGCTCCGTAGCCGGGTGCGCCTGGGGGCGGCTGCTGCCATTGCTGATATGGTGTCAATGGATTGTACAGCAGCAATGTTGGGAGACGCATACCGGATAGCCCTGTGGTGGCGCCTGACCATATGGCACGGGGGGCTGGCCATACGCAGGTTGTGCGCCGTACTGGCCGGGTGGCGGAGGGGGTTGTTGCCCATATGGAGCGGTTGGAGGAGGCTGCTGCCCATACGGGGCTCCCTGAGGAGGGTACTGTCCAGGCGGTGGAGCCTGATACTGGCCGGCGGGCGGCGCCCCGGGGGGAGGGGCCTGGTACCCGTACGGCTGTTGATAGGGCTGCTGGTAGGGGGCCTGGCCCGGAGCTTGTCCGGAGGGCGGATACTGGTACGGCGCACCCGGGTTTGGAGAACCTTGAGGGTACCCGGTTGGAGGAACGCCACCCGGGGGCGGGGCACCGTACCCCTGTGGGGGCTGCTGGCCGTAGTAGGGTGGTTGCGAGCTCATGATCTGAAGGGGATCGAAAGTTTTGGAGAGGGTGATAAATAGGAGGTAGGAGATGCGCGGTTGGAAGCTGGACTGAGTGAATCTGCAAAATTGATGTGGATGGAGTAGACCAGAAATCTTCGGAGGTCGAGATCAGACAAGCGACTTTATGCCAGCAGCGCCTGGGCAACAAGAGGCCTCGCGGTTCCCGAGCCACATTCGAATGATGGATGTTCTCGGCTGGCGGGGGTGGCTGTGTTGGAGGGCGACCTTCCCGAATCCCGCTTTTGAGCGAAGGTTAGGGGCAGCACAGCCCATGGAGACATCCTGCGCGTCCACGCCTCTCAGGCCCCATGCCCCAAGCTCACAAGTTTGATTGCACCAAGCCTTTTACCATTGCTCAATAGCCGATGTGGCGAAGCAATTCGCCGTCCCACCGTCGATGTTGGGCTGGTTTGCACACGCTATCATCGCCAAGACATCACTGCAGTGAATCCCAAGCTCAGCGGGGCGAAGTGCGTCAGGTCACTACATTATGATTGACTGCAATGACTGCATCACAAGTGTACGCTCATTGACGGAAGTCTTGCTTATTCCAAACCTTAGGTTCCTGTTCCCGTCAATGCATTGACAAAGCTCATCGAAAGCTTCTGTTGCAGAACGCCAGGAGCGTTGTTAACTTGGCACTCTGGAGATCCCCACACAGACGTGGAACGGACCAAGCAACCTCAGGTTGCGCGGTTAGACGAAGCATAGAGACGCATGCGCACAGCGCAACGCACTTCTTCTGGTGCAACAACTGCTCAGAGAGTCTCTAAGTCTAAAAAATGGAAGCAACGACTATTCTACTCTGTCCATTTCCTCAATCTCCGAGTCGAATGCCGATGCAGAAAATTCTGCCATAAACGACGAGGAATAGTAAGACGGTACAAGAGAAAGCGCAAAGGTACATCCCTAGATCAGCTCACGGGGAACTCACTGTTGTACCGTCAGAAGGTAATTCAATATTTACCCCTACTCCAGAAGGTCATACTAAGCCGGCTACACTAGGAGAAAGGGAAAACATCGTCATAAAATTCACCTTGTTTTGAGCGGAACAAAGGGGAGGTGGCAAGGCCAAAGCAGGTATCTCGCTGTCCTCTACAATAAAATCCGTGGGTCAAGGAAATTTCGGTTCAGAGTGACCTCTAGGAGCCGAGTTTCAGCATGTGCTGTTCGGCTCCTGGACCTTGACGATGGCCACTATCTCGACGCTTGCATGCGCCAGCGTGTTTTTTCCGGCTGGGTCTCCTTCGAATTCCCGTTCGCCATATCTCTCGGGTAGGGAAACAGCGATGGCGAATGGCAGTTTTGGGTAATCACATGGGGCCCTCGGATGGCTTCCGCCTGGCATCCAAATAGAAGGGACAAAAGAATCCCCAAAAATTCATGTGCATTATCATGACTCTAGCTCGCTAGGGTCCGGAGGAAAGACGACAGCCGATAGCTCAGCAATACTTGGGTGGCGGTCCCTATCGCTGGGGAATGGCCCAGCCATTTGACCGAATGAGTCACTCTGAACCCCTAAACCACCAGCCCCATCGGTCGTAACAGCACCCCATGCTGTATTCGACTCGCGTCCACGGGACCCAGATTGTCTTGTGAGGTACTCCGGCTTCCGGTGCTCTCGAAGCGCGGCATACGCCGCCAATGCTGTCGGATCCTGGAAACCGGGGTTGTCAAACGGGAGTCTGGTGGCGATGCCTCCACAAGATGGTTTCGAAGCGACAGACCATCTTGCCGAGACGCCCGCATCTGGAGGCGGTTCTGCGAGCATCTCTTCCGGTGGGTTCCAGAAAAGGGTGTTATCTGTGGGCAGCTCCGGTAGCTGTATCAAGGGCGATGACCGGGAACGCTCAACGCCATCCTGCCAGTGAATAAGGTGTTGGGGTATAGTCGAAAAGGGCTTGGCTGCCATTTGGTGGTGGGAGAGCAACGAGGTTGGTCTTTGTAGCTGGGGATTTGCGCCATCAAGGTAGAAGTTGCTGCCTGACGGACTCGGCATGCGAGACAATACGTTTAAGTCCCACCGATTCTGTTGACCACCCCCGGTATTCCAATTTGGGGTCAGGGGTCTGGGAGACCGCTCGCCATCTCCAAACAGAAACGCCGTTCCGGTGTTATCGAAGGTTATTTTTGTCTTCTTCCAAGGTACCTGCTGTCTAGGCTCGTGGCTTCCAATCATGTTTGGACCCTGCTTGGGAAAGGGTTTACGGTCGCCAGACAAGGATTGGAGTCCACCACTGGCTGGAGTTGACTCCCGTTCAGAGAGGATTGCGGTTTGCCCTGTTGAAGGGATGCTGGCTTGGTAAACGCCCGACACAAATGCGTGGTAGGCGAAGGGTCCTGGAGCCGTCTCAGACGAAGACCAGGATTTGTTTGTGAATTTTGGCGTGGGCGGGTCGTATGGTGGAGGCAGCTCTGTGGCCGACGCGGAGGGGTTCCCTATGGATGGGGTTTGGGGCAAGCGGGAGCTGACAGACGCAAGGCTTTCGGTGCTGAGGCCACCGGTCGGGCGGGAAACCTGCTTGTTTCCGCCGCCTAGCATCTCGTCGAGAAGCGCGACGTTTTCCCAGACCACCGTCGGCCGGGCGTCGGTCTTCGCGGCGACCAATCCACCTGGCTTGGGGCCGTCCACCAGCGGCGCCAGGAGAATTAGCTGGCGGAGGAAGTTTAGCTCGGCGATGACGGAGCTATGTTGGCGGGATATAAGCGGCTCTTGACTCTTGAAATCGCGCGAGCTTACGAAGAGCCATTCCAGACGGCTCGTAAATGGCGTGTTGCCTTCGTGAGCCTCGGGCCGCAGCTTCTCCACCAGCCGGGCTACCTCGAAGAGACTCGCGCGGGCACGTTTGATGATGGTGTCGATACGGTCGAGAATGGCGGGTTTCGACTCAAGCATGGGCAGCGACTCGTTCCGGAGTCTGATGAGGTCGTCGAGGTCGTAGTGGCAGGTGCGGACGAGCTCGATGCATCGGCGAACGGCGTAGGGGACTTGATCCACCTTGACGCCAAAGACGAGAAACTGGTATGCAACCTTTAGAGATCCCACTGCTATTGCTACCTCCATGGTGCCCGTCTACGTTTCCCGGGTTGTGGGCCAATGTGCTTGAAATTGCGAGGTTGTGAGGAGATAGACTGAGGGGCAACGCTCGCTGGCATGAGGCCTTGCGAGGAACAGACCAGATGCAGGCTGGTTTCATTTTGCTACCCCTCTATACTGGAATCGGCAAGGTAAAGTACAAATACAGTACTTTACTGTGGTCGCGTGCCCGCTTGTCAAGTACCTGTGGGGCACAACAAGCTGACGCGCTTTGACCAATCAGCTGAACACACCCAAACTTTCCACTTTGACAACCTCTTCCAAAGCATCTCTTTGTTTTCCACAACTCGCAACAGCACGATGGCACGGCCATAGGGATCCAGCGGCATCAAACAGCTTACTATCGAGGAACGCCAGCGGGTTCGGGTTTTATATTTCGATGCTACTGTAGCAAATGCCGAGCAGAGATCCACAGTGACTCTGGCTATACTATACTAAAGCCTAAAGCCGGATTAGCGTGGGTACCCCTCATGGAAATTTCTATTACCCATCATACCATAGTAGACATTACCATCCTTCGCCTTCAATACCTGGACAAACCAAGCGCTAGTTACTGTGTAATTAACTCAATCCCCGCGGATCCTGAATCGATTGCAAAAGCTAGTGCAGGGACATACTGTTAAAGTGCATGTGTTTTTTTCGACCACCGCAGAGGCGGACAAGCCTGTGCCTCAGCTGAGCTCAAAGCAACATTCGCTCATCAACATTGTTGGGGGCACCAACTGATGTGGCGCCTTACTTCGTACAGGTCGATGCGCCCTGGTCTGGCAGGGACGCCGACAGACCGCTAGCGCGGGATAGAAGATTGCAACCAATTCCAAGTCGCTTTTGCGGCAGAGCTCGCATTGGCAAGTGCGTGCTTGAACCTACAGGTAGCGCTTCGCAGGTTGCCCATGGCGCAACCCGGAACAATGCGCATTGTATTGTTCGCGGGGTTCAGCTTGGAACTTGAGAAGGCGCAGCGACGGATTTGGAGATTCATCAAAACCTCTCCATCTTGGGGAAATAATTACTTAGTAGTACTGCGTAGAAAATACTGCAACCAACGCTCTTCTCGGCCCCCCACCCTAGATCGGCACCGTCGACGGCGCAACGACCTCTTGCGGCATTGGGTAAGGTGTCCCGTCCTTGCCGGCGACCTTGACTAAGCCCGGGCAGACTACGGCGAAAAGAGCACCAGTCTGCTGGCTCTGCTGGTTCGGACTCGGAGCATGCACAAACCGCCATTCGCTGGGCTGCGAGAGCAGCACGTATCCGAACTTTGTAGTCTCGACGATGACCGCTTCAAGGTGGCCCTGCTGTTGGGAATTGCTCTCCTTGTTGCCGCGTACAAAGTATCCGAGGAAAGTATGCAGCGCATGGGCAAGTGCCGCCGCCTGTGGGGCCACTGCCGCTTTCGAGATCGGCAGTGGCGTGCGTTGGCTGCGGGCCGGGTGCAGCAAGAAGGCTGAGAGGGTGCGCCACTGGTTCAGAGCGAGCGACGATACTGCCGTTTGGCAAAGGTTAGAGGGCCCGATTTCTCCTTCTCTCACATGGAAGAGGGTCGGTGCGTACCTTTGGTATTTCGCTCCCCTGATTCCCACTGCGGAATCGACCGGAGGAATGCGGCGAGCGGGGCCGGGAGCATGGAAAGTTCGCTGCGCGCGCTCACATCGATGCTTGTAAATAAAGCTTGGGAGATGACATGCCTGAGTGCGACGTGGCGGGAGGTCGGCTCCAAGGCCAGCTGCGCGATGGTTTCGGCCGCCAGGCCTCCGCCATTGCCAATGCCCAATTGCATCAGCGACACAGCGAGAGCTCGGGGATCCGTCTGCACCGGGCCGAGGTGATAGTTGTTCTCGACATGTTGCTGGATAAGAGTGTCGAGAGAGCGAAGCTCTGAGGCGATCTCAGTGTTTGGGTTCGACTCGAGGAGGAACTTGCCCAGCTGGAGTGTGCCTTCGGCGGGGGCCCGCGCCACGGCAGAGGAGGCCTTTCGCTCCTCGATGGGGCGTTCGCTGTCACGGTGCAGCTGTGCCTTGCGTCGGAACCAAAAGAAGGCGATGGCAAAGCCGAGGAGCAGACCAACCATGAGGCAACCGACTGCTGCTCCGGCAATAGCCCCGGCGTTAGTCCCGGGAGCTGGCTGGGGATCTTGTGAGGAATTGGGCAACACAGCTGCTGTTGGAGGTGTTGAGACTGCGTTTGCCAAAGTTGTTGACACGGCACTTGCCAGGGTTGCTGACGCAGATGTTGAGACCGCCGGCGTCGTCGCGGCTGCGAGGGAACTTGTGCCCGACATGGCGATTCGAAGATGCGGAAGCGAGGCAAATGGACGCCGGAGCAGCGAAAAGGCGCTCGATCGGCCTCTCCACCAAGAGAGAGGCAATGAGTGATTTAAGATGAGGAGCCCCGGGCCGGGGACACACCCCGATTCCCAGCGCCCGCGGTCTCCCCACCCCCTCAGTCACGTTGGGGAGCCCATGTACACAGCTAGCGATTCGATACGCACCATACGAAGCACATAATCAACAAAAGTGATTATGGCCGCACCGTGCTACTGTAGCCACAAAACATCCTCTTGGCTCAGCTGGGCGCGCTAGTTGCGATAGTTGGAGTGGCGTTGTTCTCGGCGCCCGGAAATGCATGAAAGGTCCATCAGGGGGGGGTGTTACCATGAGAACAGCTCAACTCTGGTTGCGGCTCTCGTGTGATAATTATTGGTCATGGAATCTCCTGCCCCTATTTGGGTTCCTCGCGGACTCTTCGTCGGTAAACACCGTCGTGCTTCTGGGGACGGTGTAAATCTTTCGTCGGGACCACCAAATGTATGACCCGCAACGCCGCAAAACACACCGTGCCACACACCACATATCCCTCAAAAACCACCGTTAGTTCTTCCAACGGCTAGGGGCGCGTCTTTGAGGCCCGCAATTGCCTTGACAAGATGAGCGCAGACGGGCCAGACATTACGGTCGCTGTTGATCTCGGGACCACATACACCGGTAAGCCGACACGGATCGACCACAGGGCTTGACTCACGCATCTCTTCAGGAGTCGCATGGATGACCCCGCGAACTCCCATCCAGGTCATCAGCGACTGGCCAGGAAGTGGTGACCGCAACGAGCGCAAAGTGCCTACGACATTGATCTACCACGGCAGCGGCGTCGTCTCGTCCTGGGGTTTTTTGTGCGCCGACGATGAGAGTAGCATGCAGGGCAAGACCAAGCACGAGTTCTTCAAAATCTTCATGGAGGCCGAGACGCTCGCCGGCGCCCAGCAACAGGGCCTCTCGGGCGCCCCAGCATCGACCCTCGAGGCTCAGCGGTTTTGTACGGATTATCTCCGTCAAGTCTACCTCCACGTCAAGGATAGCGTCGAGTCCGAGATTGGCCGTCGCGACCTTGGAGGGTGGTCCGGGATGAGAGTCGAGTTCATCTTCAGCGTGCCCACGACGTGGACGAGCCTCAGCGTGATCAACACCTTCAAGGACGTCATCCGCAACGCCGGCTTCGGCGTCGAGGGCCCGCGTCACTCAGCTGAGATCGACCTTACCGAGGCCGAGGCGGCAGCCGTGGCAACGCTCAAGATGAGCGCCGTGACCCTGGGCACAGGGTCTGTATTCCTGACGGTCGACGCCGGTGGCGGTACAACGGACCTGGCTCTGATGCGAGTGACCTCGGCGAACCAGCAGTTGCCGCAAATTTCGTCAATGCATCCCGTCAGCGGCGTGGGAATTGGAGCCACGGTCATAGATCGGCAATTCATCCATCTAGTCGTTCAAAGAATGGCAACGTACCCCGAGATCGCCATGGCGTTGCCCCCCGACTTTCCCACGCAGCTCTCACGTAGCCACCACTTCAGGACATTGAAACACAAGTTCGGCGAGCGGGCCTACATGCAGCCGCTCTTCCGGATTCCCGTAGAAGGAGTGGCTCACCACTTCAGTCACCCTGGGCTTGGGATTGAAAATGGCAGGATGATCTTCTCTATGTGAGTGCAGCTGCTGGGGCTGGAGTTTAACAGTTAATGAGGATATCTCACCTGTGGCTGACGAGACCTATCACTTCAACAGTCACGAGATTCAAGCACTCTTTGACCAGCAGATCGAGGGCATTGCGAAAAAGATCATTGAAGAACTCGACTGGCTGAGAGATAGCGGTTGCCCTGAGCAAGTGGTAAATTTAAGGACGCCAACAACTTGTTATAAAGCCTGACCGACTAACTCGGGACGCCGTACCAGCAACACATGGTGTTATCCGGCGGTCTCGGAAGCTCGGCCTACGTCCGCGACCAATTACAGCAGCGCTTCGCCGACTTTCCGCACCCCAACGCCAGCAGGGTTGAAGTGATTCGGTGTAGCGACCCGCAGCTGGTAGTCGTACGCGGCCTCCTGCTCGACCACCAGCAGAAGGCTCAAACAGGCGGCACAGCATCCGTGCTCGCGGCGCGCGTCGCGCGCGCCAGCTACGGCATCATAGTCAAACACCCCTACTCCCCCGTGCTTCATTTCAATGAGGAAATCGTCACAGATCGGTACGAGACCGACAAGAAGTGGGCTGTGAATCAGATCGAGTGGTTGATCAGAAAGGGCGACGTGATTTACCCCAACGCCCCCCTGGCCAAATTGTTCCAGATCCGTCTTGCCGCCGGAGAGTTGACGAGAGCGTTTGATACCAGAGTTGTCGTGTCACAGAGCGAGCCATCCTTCCTGCCTAGGAGTATGAAGCAAGGTGCGTGCGCGCAGATCCCTTCCCCCCAACCCCCAACCCCCAACCCCACACCCCGACACATGCACTCCGGTAGCTTCGTAGCTGACGAGATAGTTCTACAGCCGGTGCAACCAAGATATGTGACGTCCGCAGCAATCTTGATGGCGTCAGTCAGGAACAACTGATTCTCAAGCACAAACGTGGAACATGTTTCTCTCGCGGATACACGTTCTACATATGCGAGTTTGAGATCAGGGTCATCGTGGCTCCTGCTGACTTGCGATTTGAGCTGTGGTTTGCGGGGCAGAAGTTTTCGGGCAATCACGAGCCAATTTCTGTCACTTGGGATGACGAAGGGACAAAGGTCAAGGGTTGATTTGAATGTAATTACGGATCCGTATTTCCAGGACTTCCCACAAAAGGACGCGACATATAAAGACGGTGTAACCTGGAAATACACTAATATGTTGATGAAATAGCAATAGTATAACTAACGGCATGTCAGGGCCCGCCCCCTGGGTGACGGTCATCCTGCCAGCGCGGATGACAATACGACGCCTCGCCAGACCCCAGCTCCTGCGCGGCCGCGCGACCTGGATTTTCAGCCCGGGATTGCCAGGATGACCAGCAAATCGAGCCGCGGTAAGCGGTATTCCTCAGGGCTAGCCGTGCTAGCGCTACGATTCTAGGCCGCCGCGCGAGAACGCGCGCGCTCCGTCGCACCGGGATAGTACGGTAAGAAAGCGACTGACCACGCCCACATCCTTCACGTCATTCCGCTGCGGTTGTCAACCGTCTCAACGTCTCATCACGAAAGTGCCGGCATATCAAGATGGACCAGTAGATCCGAGCCTTTTTCAGCGCGTCAACAACAAGGTCTCGGCCGTCGTCGAGAAGTATCTGCTGGACGACCAGGACGTGACGCCCAAGAACACGCGTAAGGCATACGGACCAAAGCAGGCCGAGTGGATGGTTAGTCAAGTTGGCCGGCCCCCCTTGTTACGGAAGCCTGGCAACTAACAGAGATATAGAAATGGTGCAAATCTCGCTTCCCAGAGGTCCCGCCTGGTTGGCCGGCGCAGTACCAAATAGGCAGCGCCCTGCCCGGGAATCTTGTTGACGAGGGGAAGCTGGTGGTGCTCTTTCTGGACGAAGAGAATCAAGAGATCGCCTCCCGCGCTCCGAAATGCGGCAAACGTCGCAAGGCCGGGACGCAACGCTCAGGGCAGGAAGGAAGTTGAAGAGGCGGAAGAGGGAAAGCCCGTTACCGACGTCGACTGGTGCGGCCGATGTGATTGTCGTTGGCGGGGATCCGGCCGAAGATCCGAAGTTAGACCCAAACTCGGACTCGGATATCGGCAACCTCGGTCCGGACTCGGCCGTGGGTACCTCCACGCTTAAATTGCAGTATAGCACCGTCCGGCTCTATAGCAGCGCTATCATCAATCTCTACGCACAACAAAAGACGAGGGAGGAGAACCCGGCTCCGCACCCGAACGGCCTCGCTAAGAAGGCGCTCATGCGGCAGATCCTCCGCGAGGCCGCTTCGCGGAGCTGCAAGGAGTGGGCGGACCGTATCCTGAACATGATCAAGGACGGGTATCCGCCGGCAAAGATTCCCGAGCATACATCGGCGGCGTGGCGGTTTAGCGACGTGAATAGCGGCTTCCGTACGAACCTGTTCTTCCTTTTCGGTAACCATATGCTCCTACGGTCGAGTAACAGGCTGCCGCTCGAGTTGGCCGACTGCTTTTGCCTGGATTTGCCGAAGGAAGGCATCAAAACGCAGCCGGGGGGGGGGGTTCCGACAAAGGCCTTTGTTGTTCTGATGAATCAGGGGAAGACGAATAAACATGGCCGGGTCGAGTATGGCTCTTGTTTACGGCATTGTGATCCGGAGGTATGCCTCGTTGGCCAGCTGGCCTTTTGGTTTTTCTTCCGTTGGCAGGTAGAGAAATCCGCCGCTGAGCCGTTCCCGAATTTCAGTCGGCCGGAGCTGTGGTACCGGACGAAGGTACTACGCCGGAGTAAGGCGGATTATACTGGCCAGCTGTCGTACGCCACGGCTTATAAGTGGGCCTTGGACTTTCTATAGCATATGCGGCATTAGGACGAGCAAGGCCACCCATGCACCAAGGGTGGCAGCGGCGTAAAATGTCCATATGGCAGGGGTGTCAGACGCGCAGGGAAGGTCGGCTGTACCGACTTGCTTAGAGGCCTAGTAATACGTTGCTGACTCTATCTTATACGAATTAGATCCGACGCTGCGTTCTTGAGAGCAAAGTACCCGGGCCACCCCATCTTCCAAGATCCGATGTTTTGGCCCCCCCTGTTCAACGCCTTTGCTATCAAGGTCAGGGAAGCCGCGCAAGAGAGCTCTGAAGATGACCGCGTTACGGCCATTGAGAAGGTGACTCCTGAGGTCTCCGAGAAGCTCAGAAGCCTAACAGCTTATCAGCTTGCCGTCGATTTCCAAGCCAATCACTTAGGACCAATCGGAAGGAGACCTGGAGGTAGGCTTGTTGGAAGACCAACAGTCACAATTCACGGGGTTACACCGACGAGTAGTCACGACCATGGGTTGGGTGCTCCAGAGCACCAAGAAGTGAGTTTTTACTTTAAAGGTCTTGATTCTCTCTCCTCTCCAGCGGTGGGCATCGCCCTGATCCTGTTAAATAATCTGTTCTCAACCCTTGTTTTACTTCTCAACAGTAGAGAGCATCGACAACCCAGCTTCCGAGTTTCGAGTTCCATACCTTCAAGCAACAAGCGTTTCAGGGTACCGCGACTTTCCAGGACATTCCAACAATACTACGCGAGATCGACGGGATCGTGGCCCGCGGGTATCGCAGTACTCGACAAGTGTTGGAGTTTCATATACTGCTACGAGCTCTGGCATCCCTAACGGGTGCCGGTATCCGTTTTGGGATCGCAACAACAAGCTCCTGAGTGTTTTGTCATATTTCTGCTCAACGGGCAGATAATCAACGGTATCGCTGCCCGGTTTCTGACGACTGGATTTGCCGGGACTTGAAACGGATCAGCCTGGTGAGCAGAAGGGTGACGTTCATCCAAATTAGCAGGGATTGGACGGAGCGCCCGTCAAGCTCCTTATTGAATGATGTGCCTGCCGCGGCTGTGAAACACTTGTGGCAAGCGCCGGGGCGGAGATCCAAATCCATCTCAATTCTGCCCTGTTGCCCTCCAATTGCATGTGCTTCAAACGCATGTCGTTGCCTGCACGGCTGCGTGCCTGCATGGCTCGGTGCTCTTCTATGAGACGACGTAGTACCACGGGAGCAGGGAAGCGGTTGTTCCATACAGTCGTGGATCGACGCCCTCAACGCAAGCAGTGAAATAGGCTACAGCGAAGCGAATGCCACGCTTCATCCCCCTCCACTCTCTTGGCTGATTTAGGCCAAAGGTTCCTTGCAAATGTCTTCACCGACGCGTTTCAATGACATAGTCGAGTTGGTAATGCTGGGAACTAAGCAGCGGTAAGGGCCTATCTATCCTGATCGTCTCCTGATTAAGGTATCTGACTGACTCGGTGATGGCGGCGTCGGCATCAATAACCTCGGGCTTCAACGTCAAAAGAAGCGACCCGCAAAAGCTGAGCCTCCACGGCGGCATTTATTATGGCGCGGCCTCTTCGGCGTCTTTGTCCCCCCTCCTTTCGCTGCCTATTATGTCTGGACTTACGTGCCATTCATGCGTCCACCGGCAGACCACCTTGCCACCAACGGTACTCCATTATTTGATGGCACACTCATTTGGTGGTCATGGTTCATATTCGGCGCCCTCGGTACCAACGTCAAACACCTACGTGCTCGCAGCCGTTGAAGCTGGCATCCTCACGAGCGATCACCCCTGGAAGCTGAACACAGAGCAACCAACGATGCACAAGAACAAGTCGTGTAGCAGAATCAGCGGTTGGATGCATATGGCTTTCCACATTTCTAGAAGAAGGCTAGAGGGAAACGGGCCGGTTCTATCTATGTTCTGGCTACTCTTCTTTTTCCTGCAGCTCCTGTCATAGACTTTCGTGCTGAGTGGTCTCACCATGGAGACCAAGGATTCATTCAAACCAGGCAGCACTCCAGGTATCAGCGTGGTGGCCACCAACGCTATCACTTTTGGTAATCGGAGAACCTTTTGCGTGCTCGAGGGCGTCTACCAGGCCTGGAGGTTTGGCCAACTGCCCAAGATACCCGGATCGGCGCCTTTTATGCAACCCGGGAGCTCAATGTTCGCCTTCAACATGACGACTGGCAACAACTTGCCGGATAGCACCAAGCAGCCGATTTTCCTCCCGCCGCAGGCAGACACGCCCCTTACCGGCCGTTCTTGGGGCCTCGCCCTGAACTACCGCTGCAAGCCTATCTCCAGGCTGGGCGACTTCCAGATGTTGATCAACCGGTTCAACCTCACGACTAACGGTTATTTCAATGGATCCTGGACTTACCCCGAATCCGGTGATACTCAGATACAAAAACAAACTCGCAGCTTCCCGCCCACTACTTCTACGAGGTCCCCGGTCTCCCAGGGCCACAATTTCCGTCTTAACAGACAACTCATCCATTGCGTCGACACGCGCGGGGTTCACCATGGTTTCCGAGGTTGGGCTTAGCTCCGGAGTATACAGCATGATGAACGGCAATGACCGGGGCTATAGAGGCAAATACGGCGGTCTCGGAGCACAGGACGTCCTGGAAGTCCTTCTTTGGCAGCGCCGATGGCCAGACCGGGTTTGGGCTCCCGGGATTATTCAAGAACTCTATGGCGAGTACAAGGATTTGCAAGCGAGAGGCAACCAATCTGGATCAAAGTACCTGGAGCAAATCGCAGTTCAGTGCATATCATCCTCTGCGATGGGATCGGCCACGCCCGACGGGATCACCGACACATACTGGGATTTCCGACAGGAGGATGATGCCGCCTTTGACAAGACGTCTATGATGCCGGACACTTGGAACGTCCCGCGCCTTAGCATGGCTGTTCCTGCCATGTTCATTCCCGGAATAAGAGGGAGCGGCTTCTACGATCTCCCCGACTGGTCTCACGATGCGTCACCGCAATTCGCCCCCTGAGCAAATCACACCCATGGGTTCCCCGCGGAGTCGATTACCGCCGCACCGACTCCAACAAAAGCGAATTTGTTGCCCTGCCTGATCTGATCGTATCACTCCTCACGGCTGGCGGCGTGGACATAAGTACGCGCTATGGAGAGCCTGGTTACCGCCAATACCAGAGATACGTCCAGCCACAGACGTTACAGCGAGCTTTGGAGCTCGCGTATCTACATACGGCTGTCCAACTCCTGTACGGTGTGTACGACGGACCACACCAGGCTTGGAAGCACTCCAATCTAACCGGTGCGATATCTTCCGAGATACTGATATCGGCTCAAGATGGTATGCTGGCGCTGTTCATCATGGCGGCGCTCGTGCTGTAGGCTTTGGGCTGTGTGGTACTTACACTCATATTCTCGTTTCGCAAGCGTTGGGATGCTTTTATGCGCACCGGGAGTTTGTACTGGTATCTGAAAACTTGCCAGTTAGATCCCTCTACCTCCTACTCTTCTTCCCAACCGTCGTCGCCAACCAGTGGGAAAAGGGCCCGAGAGTGATTACACAACTGTCGATACCCGCTTCGAGAGGGGGTGGCGGTTTTGAGCTGGTGTGAGTCGTGACCACCTCAAAACCCGAAAAATACTTGGCGATTGCGATCCAAGAAAATCCCTGCTCTCTCAGCTGACGGAACATCGCGTTCTATCCGCTGGTGTATATATCGCCCTCCTTCAAGTTTAAGCTTGTCCTCGTCCTTTGCGGGTCCTATGCTCTTCCATCTCGCTGGGTCGTATCTCCTGGTCAAGGAAGCAGAGCTTCGATTTTCCGTTCCGTGGTGCCCTCTCCCATCGGTTAACGAACTCCCTGGTCTGCGCGTGGGTTCGTGGGACTCCGAGGGCACCTGGGCCAAGTCATTGGGTAATTAAGCTTCACAAAAGCTCAATCAAGGTGAACTGTTTGTCAATAGGATAGCACCCCTAATCCGCTGTTTCAGTCCATAACCAGTATTCTAGATAGCGGCCAACCTGAACCCTGAGCCAACATGGCCACTCTCTCGCCCTCGCACTCGCCATGGCCTCAACCCTACAAAGCCGCCCTCGCATTTACAATGGACAACCTAGGTGAAGCCCAGGACGTACTCAGAGGCGCCTGGCCTCACCCCATCGGCACGTACCCCTCGGTCACGTCCCACCTCCCGCGCATGCTGGCCCTGCTCGCCAAGTACCGCGTGCGTGCCACCTACTTTGTTGAGGCCTGGAGCCTGGGCGTGTATCCCTTGGCCGTGCATGCGCTGGTTGAGGGAGGGCATGAGGTGGCCTGGCATGGGTTTCAGCATGAGGTTTGGAGTGGGCTGAGTGAGCAGCAGGAGAGGGAGAATTTTGAGAAGAGTTGGGAGGTTGCTGGGGCGCAAGGGGTGGGATATGTCGGTTTTAGGCCTCCTGGAGGCGAGGTGAATCATCGGACGTGGGGGTTGTTGAAGGAGTATGCTGCGCGGTATGTTTCGCCGCTAGGGGAGTTCGGGTTGGGGCCGGAGGGAATGGTGGTGCTGCCCTTTGAATGGAGGGCTGTCGACGCTTTTTGGTACATGGAAAAGTTTGCAGGCATCAGGAAGCAGAATGGGGAGGGTGAAGAGGTGCTGAGTCCGTGGGAGTTTAGGGAATGGTTAATGGGAAGGGTGGACGAGACTGTGAAGACCAGCGGTTTCCTGTCGATACTCTTCCACCCGTTCTTGCAGACGAGCGAAGACAAGTTTGAGGTACTGGAAGAGGTGCTGAAGAAAATTGGCGGACATCAGGACGTACGGGTCGCTCCCTGCAAGGAGATTGCTGAGTGGGTGAGCGCACATCCCGAGCGATTTCCGGCGCAGGCGACGGGTTGAGGTGAACGGGCTTCTGTGGCTCTTGCTTGAAACCATTTTTAATTCCAGCGATATTATGTTGTTTAACCTTGTAACGTTAGTATCTTCTCTGGTATCTTCTCAAGGACATGTGACCAACCAAAACCCATCATGGATGAGTTCCATGTCTTGACCTGTTCAGGAGCTCGTTTCGAGCCCTTCCAGGACACAGGCAACAACATGCAACTCGGGAATAACATTGCCGGTTTCTGTGCATTGACAGCCCCTTGCTTTCCAGAAATAGCCTGTTCCATATACGTTGACATTGTCGCTACTTTGTCAGGTAAGCTGAGCGTTGCCTTTGTCATGTTTTAGACATGCAGATGCCTTAGTAGGATGTGCCGTTATTTGAATCGGTATGTTGAGCCTCGAGTTGCCTTTGAACAAAGCTGTGCAAGAAGCTGTGTAAGACATTGGCTTCACAATCCATTGTCAGTTTGAGATGAATTCCTCTGGTTAAAGAAAACTCGACAATGCATTGTTTCTTGTATAAATGTCATCTCAGCCCTGTGCCTGGCGTCCTGTTCGGGGAAAAGAAGTTCATTGTCCAAGATAACACAGCTCATCATGATTGAAAATGTTTCACTTCATATACTCCTACTTGCGCGTCCTTTCTCTTGGTATCCTCACATCAGGCTTGAAGTGCCCGATCAGCAACCCATTATCGCCTCTTCCAGTCAACGACCCCTCGCACCACCCCTCCGACGACCGCTGCCTGTCACGAAGAAGTCTCCAGATGAGGGCCGGTTCCAAGTCCTTGACTTTGAAGGTACAAAGAAACTTGATGTCGACGCATACTCTCTTCAGGATTACATGTTCAACCCGAAGAGATGGGGATTGATTAACGCATCGGACGGGATACGCAAGAATTCAACTAATCCGGTGTCGCCTTCAGCTCAGCCATCTCCTTCCAGCAACGACAAAATGCGTCTGGATTACATTATCAATCCAGATGTCTCTGGAATATCAGCCAACATAAAAGGTAAGGCATCCCTTAAGCGTTCGCTCCCCGACAGTGACGTTGAGCTCGGTCCCGCCAAACGACAAAAGCTGGGGGTTGCGTCTACATCAGGCCTCGCCCCGGAGGCTATCGAGATCCTTAAGCCGCCTCGCAAGGTAAGGGCACCGCAATACTCCTGCCTCCACTGCGGCAGCCGTCCAAACTCGACCAAGTGCACTATCGAGTGCTACCGGGCCTTCCGAGCCGCCCACTTCGCTCCAGCCGCCAAGAAGATCCAGATCCGGCAAACAACGGCCGGTCTGCACGCCACGGGCCTCGGGGTCTTTGTCAAGACAGGGGAAACCATCTCCGAAGGGGACTGGTTAGGTGAGTACCTCGGCGAGCTGCTCCCGGCCGACGCTCCCGAGGCCGACACCAGTGACTACGCGTTCCTCATGCCCGGCCGAGCAGTCGAGCGCGTGAGAAAGGTGGTGGTTGATGCCGCCACGCACGGAAACTGGACCAGTTTTGTGAATTCCTCGTGCAATCCCAACGTCGATGCGATTCCGGAGCAGGTGGGTAAGGTCAGGATCGTTGCGTTCCGAGCCGCGAGGGATATCCACGCCGGAGAGCAGCTGCTGATTTTCTATGGGAGGGAGTTTTTCGAGGAACGGGGGATAGAGTGTTGTTGTGAGGTAAATTCATTGCCACATGTACCCAGAAAAGCAAGGCCTTGAGCTATAGGGAGGTTCCTCCGCCCTATGAAAGGTTAAGTTGGCGACGGGCGTTGTCTGGCCTTGATGGCCCACGCCTCGAAGTTTCATCTGGTTCCCTAGAAATACTTGACATTTTTTCAGATTGCTTGATTTTCTTACAATGTGTTGAGGTAAGGTCGATTTCTTATTTTCTTTCGGTGTAAAGAAAAAGTAGGAGGTAAGTAAGTAAGTATGATAAGTAAGGTAAGAAAATAAAAAGATCAGGGAGTGTCTCTCCCATTGGGAATGCCGTCACTCCAGCAGTGTGGCTTCCGAAGCCTCGGCGCCAAGATTCCGGCCGGGGCTAGACGCCACTCCAGCTCCGGCGGAAAAGTGGATCCCACTGCGCGTCCTGCCCCTCCCCCTCCATTCCAAGCTCCCTCGGCTCCCTCCCAACCGCGACCGCGTCTCCGCAACGAAGCTATTGGAACCTGACGCAAACGTATAAATAGTGGCACATAAGTTCCTGTATGCCCCAGTTGCTCAGCCGGCATTATAATTTCTTCATCTTCTTGAGCATCACATGTGTTCTGGTTGCGATTCTCCTTAGCAACACCAGGAACAGCGCGAGCTCCAACCCCTTGAACAGCATCCTTTCCCTGCGCCATATACCCCCAACGACATCATCAGTCAATATGGGCGGCGGACCAGCACCTGGCTACCGATCGGTTGTTTACTTCGTCAACTGGGCTATCTACGCCCGGAAGCACCGCCCGCAGGACTTGCCGATCGAGAAGTTGACTCATGTGTTGTACGCTTTCGCCAACGTCCGCCCGGAAACTGGCGAGGTGTACATGACGGACTCGTGGGCCGACACCGAAATTCACTGGGAGGGCGACAGCTGGAACGACAGCGGCACCAACCTGTACGGCTGCCTGAAGCAACTCAGCCTGCTCAAGCGGCGTAACCGCAACCTCAAGGTGCTCCTGTCTATCGGCGGCTGGACATACAGCTGCAACTTCAGGCAGCCCGCTTCCACCCCGCAGGGTCGCCAGACGTTCGCCTCATCCGCAGTCCAACTCGTTTGTTCCCCTCTCTGCCCTCTTCCCTTTTCCATCCACTAACTGGCCCTCCTGGTGATAGCTCGCCAACCTAGGCTTTGACGGCATCGACATCGACTGGGAATACCCGCAGAACCCCACCGAGGCAGGGGACTACGTCTCCCTCCTCGCCGAAGTGCGCTCCGCCCTCGACCGCTACGCGCACACGGCTGATCCTTCCAACCCACCCCACTTCCAGCTAACCGTTGCCTGCCCGGCCGGCTCGCACCACTACACCAAGCTCGACATCCGCGACATGGACCGCTACCTCGACTTCTGGAACCTGATGGCGTACGACTACGCCGGCTCATGGGATAGCGTCTCCGGGCACCAGGCGAACCTGTACCCGTGCCGGACCAACACGGCGTGCACGCCCTTCTGCACCGACGCCGCGGTGCAGCATTACGTTGAGCAGGGGGTGGCGCCGTCCAAGATCGTCGTGGGCATGCCCTTGTATGGCCGGGCGTTTGAGGGGACCGAGGGCCTAGGGAAGCCGTACAGCGGTGTTGGGGAGGGCACGTGGGAGAATGGCGTGCACGACTACAAGAAGTTACCACTGGACGGGGCCGAGGTGAGGATGGATCATGACGCGGGCGCGACGTACTGCTACCATCCGGGACGGAAGCTGTTGGTGAGTTACGACACAGTGGACATGGCGAGGAGAAAGGCGGAGTACATCAAGGAGCGCGGACTGGGAGGCGGCATGTGGTGGGAGAGTAGCGCCGATAAGGAAGGCCCCGAGAGTCTCATTGGGAATGTGGTCGAGGTGTTGGGCGGTCCAAATTCATTCGAGCAGCGCGAGAACTGCGTCACTTATCCCCACACAAAGTACGACAACTTGAGGGAGGGGTTTCCCAACAACTAGTGTGGGACGGAAACTTGGCTGTATTACGAGGCGGCTGCCTGCACGTCCCAGACCCTCAGCCGCAGCAGATGACACCAGTGGCTAAGATAGCACTGGTTGTCATCGCATCCCAAATTGCATTTTCCTTGCCGGTTCCGAGCCCGCATATGCCCAACTCTAAGGTACATAAACTCCGGTTCGTGAAGATCGTTGCCCGTTCCTGACTCCTTGCAATCTTATCCCCACCCCGAGGTGTTCAGCATGACCGACGCCAATTGCTTAAGCGTTCTTCTCAAAGACGTAGGTCAGGTGGCAGCGGCCACAGTACTGGCGATCCTGCATGGCAGCCATGAAAACACCGGCACCGCACTGAAGGGATATTATCAGCACGCAGTCCGGCAACACAGAGGATGGAGACAACTCACAGTCTCGTTCGGGCACTCGCGGCGGAGGCGCTCAATCTTGCCATCGCTATCCACCTTGTAGTACTTGAGCACAGCGAGCTTGGTCTTCTTCCGCTTGTGCTTGATCTTCTTCGGGGTGGTGTAGACCTTCTTCTTCCTCTTCTTGGCACCACCACGCAGGCGGAGCACAAGGTGGAGGGTGCTCTCCTTCTGGATGTTGTAGTCGGAGAGGGTCCGGCCATCCTCGAGCTGCTTGCCGGCAAAGATCAGGCGCTGCTGATCGGGGGGAATGCCCTCCTTGTCCTGGATCTTGGACTTGACATTGTCGATGGTGTCGCTCGACTCCACCTCAAGGGTGATAGTCTTGCCCGTGAGGGTCTTCACGAAGATCTGCATGATTGCCTACTGAGAAGTGGTAAGGACGTGTTAGACGCAAAGAATAAGAGGCTTTTTGGAGAGAAAGCCGGCGCAGATGGGGTTGGGGAGAAAGCCGACTCGAAACTGCGCTCATGGAGGTTTCCCAACCGCGTGCGCAGATTTCAAAGTCGGTCGCGGCAGATGCAGCGGACAAGATTGGGTATCATGGTGCGTTGAAGACAAGGGAAGCGGGAGATGAAGAAGCGCCGGCTCGCAACATCGTGCAGACGTACCTAGACACAATGTCTTCCTCAGCAATCTGTAGATGTTGTGAAGGTGCGCTTGAGAAGAAGAGGTCAGGAATTTGAGATAAGGCGTCGCAGTTGAACTTTTGGCAGGGTCCCACATAATCAAGGTGGGTCAGCTGACTTTGTTCGGTGTTAGGGCTTTCTAGCACACTTGCCCTGGCCCGCACTCTGCTCGCAAGTGGGGAGACATCGGTGGGTCAAGTCGCATGTTTTCCAACGCCGCTTGAATTTCTTGGACCCTCGCCCTTCTCCTACACAATCCCTTGAGCATCACGACACTCAAGACACCGCCAAAATGGTCAAGAAGAGAAAGAACAACGGCCGCAACAAGAAGGGTGAGCATTTATCACATTGGAATGCGCCTCAATCTGTCAATCGCTGACTGATATTCTTGAAGGCCGCGGCCACGTCAAGCCCATCCGGTGCTCCAACTGCTCGAGGTGCACTCCCAAGGATAAGGCCATCAAGCGGTTCACCATCCGCAACATGGTCGAGTCTGCGGCCATCCGTACGTTCTCTGAGACCCCCTCCCGACTCCCCGGACCGCGACCACGATTTCCTCGACGCACCCAGACCCCCGGATAGTTGACGACTCGCTAACTGGTGACTCCCGCAGGTGATATCTCGGACGCTTCGGTATTCTCCGAGTATACGGTTCCCAAGATGTACCTCAAGCTGCAGTACTGCGTCTCTTGCGCTATCCACGGCAAGATTGTCCGGTACGTTTGTCCACGTGGCGGGGACAACCGCGTCTGCCATCTCGGTGACGCGGGCGGCTGAGATGATCCTTGGTCGAACCTCCGCCATTAGTTACCCGATAATCCGGTCCCGAACATGCTCGCTGACAGAAATGCTGCAGTGTCCGCTCCCGCGAGGGCCGCCGCAACCGTGCTCCCCCACCGCGCGTCCGCTACAACAAGGATGGCAAGAAGGTTACCCCGACTCAGGGCCCTAAAACCGCCTAAGCGGTTCTCTCCTTTCTTGCTTTGGCGTTCTGAGTTGGCGGCATTTGGCTTGGGGCGTGGTTTTGATGATGGTAAATTAACGGATCATGAATCGGCTTTGCATGACAACAAACCCGACAACCACGGGAACGGAACTGGGATTTCCTTCGGCCCACTGGGCTTCATAGAGCCATAGTCACCAATTCAGAGCACTTGTTGTGTGGAAGCGCGGGGGACACCCCCTCAAACACTCTGGCTCCGATCCCCCTCGGTAGCTTCTGCTGGTTTCCTTCAAGGACTGAGGCGGCAAGGCGAAAATAGATCGTGACAAAACGCCCGACAGGCCGGGGCAATCGATGCGCTAGGCATTTCGAGGCCGCATTCTCGCAAGCCCACGGTTGAAGTAGTCTGAGTTCGGGTTGCACCTCGTCATTCCAGCGCTCTCAAGGCATCCTGCATCTGGATGCTGTCCTCCACGTTTTTGTCCGCCGACGACACGACGCCGGGTGCAGGACCGGCCCTTGGCAGCTGTCGACATGCATCGCGTTGGCGGATCAATATGGTTTTGAACTCACGGAATCAAGGTGGCCGGCCCCAATAGGTCGGTCTACTAGCTCAGGGTTCGAATGTTGCCGCTCCGCAGGAGGGCTGGAAAGGTGACGGCAGTGCATCAGCTGTCTCACACGTCCTCGAGTCACCATGCGTCAGTACGATCAGCAGTCAAAAGAAGGCAAAAATAGAAGACAAAGGGGCGCCGGAACATTATCGTCGTCTTTCCCGCGCAACCGATAACCGGTGTCACGACAGTCGGCATGGACACAAGATTGGCCCGACTGTGGAAGTCGGCATGGGCAGACGGTGGCACGCTCTTCGCGGGCCTGAAGTCCCTGTCAATGGGAGACACCTGACTCATGGTTTTGGCGTAGAAAGTGTTGTTGCCGTTCAAGACTCGATTTTGGTGCCAGTGGTCTTCTGCTGGCTGTCCTGTCAAGTAGTAGGAGCCTTAGGAGGCACGTCGGTAAAGAATCACACCACGTACAAGTCAGCCCTGGTTTGTTTGTTAGCACCGAACTTAGATCTGCAATGCGTCATCTTTCAGATTGTTTCGCTTTCAACATCTTGCCTTCTTTCATTCATTTTATTATTCTTTCTTGCCCTAGTTAATACTATTTGTCTTGACCTTTATTTTTCCTCTTCCTTCTTCTCTTAGTTTTTTATCATCACATATGTCTCTCTTTCTAGCCTCATTCCTTGTTTCCTCACTTCCCCCAGATTCTCAACTTTCTGTTCAGTCTAGCGAGTGCCCGCCAAGTGGCGCGCTATAACGAACAAACCAGGGCTAGGTTGTAAAGCCCACACTGCAACCTCGCTCATCCGTTTGAATTAAAGACTGTTTGGAAGCCAGAACATGTCTTCTCACTTCTCCGCTCCTTTGATGCTCTAATAGCGTTGTAGGCCATGAATCTCGATTATCAACGCTGCTCACTCGCAGCTCTCTGTCGTTCCTTTTCCACAAACAGCCTCCACAAGACAATCACAAACACAAGTGGCAAGTATGCCAATACATACACCCTCGATTGCCTAAAGATCTTGCAGTCAAGTGTCTTTATTGACGGAACTTCAATTTATGACGAAAACTTCCATCATGGGTTTCGGTCCCCACGCGCATCGGTCCTATCTCATCTCATCGCTCCTTCCAGTCCTGGTATGACATGAAACACAGTGCGTCACTGAAGGGCACCTTAGGCAGCCAAGTCCCGCAAGTCACCTTTCAACACCATACTGACTCTTCAGACTCTGCGTTCTCTGTGGTTGTTACCCGACCTCTCACTCGACTCTAGAGGCCTCACCAGCGGTTCTCTGCTTGCTGCCCAGGTTCTCAAACCCCGACATTCGACCGATTACTTCGACAAGTGGGTAACAATCGTCTCATGTCATTCTGTCGTTTCACTGACCGTTGCTCACGATTCTGCAGGTTCTTTGAAAATCAACTGCTCTACCTTGTCCCACCACTTCATCGAACCAGCAATATCTGTCAGTCTGTGATTCACCTTCGTCGACTCATCATCCCAATTAGTATCGGGATTTCCATAGAACGGAAATCACTAGGCCTTTTCCACACTTGGCTCGTCTGCTTCTCGGGACACTCGTTGAGTAAGTCACCATCACAAGACTTGATTCTGTTCTGCTTGTTGCCAACATGCGAGTCAGAGCCCTCTCATCATCCGAGTCTTCTCAGAATTTCATCCTCGATGCGAGACGAGGGGCAGGGTCTGACAGTCCAAACACCGACAATGGACAAAGGTATGATCTTATCTCAGAGACTGCCTGTACTGTCGTCACATACTTCAGCTTTAGGAGAGTCCGAACTGTGCTAACTGATTCTTTCTAGGTCGCGGCGTCAAGAACCGCGCCATCGCCCCCTCCAACAGGACTCTCCGGTTCATGACATGGCGGACATCATCATCTGGGACAGCAGCGCCCCTGACTCCTCGGACCGGTCCCATAAGCCTCCCCAACGAAACCCTGATTTTCATTGACAATTTTCCGAGGCGAAAGAATTGTGGGCTCTTTGTCTCGTCAACCGTCGCCTGAACACCGTTGCGACTTCGATCCTGTGGAACAGCCTCTACACCAACCCTCTGAGATGCAAAGAAGTCCTCCTCTGGTGCCTCCTACGTCGGCCGAAACGACCTGCTCAACTACTTGCTGGACCGGCAAGTGAGCCCGAAGTTTCTCTACTTTTCATCCATCCTTGGAAGCAGGCTTCAAGACGTTAGAACCGACCAAGGATTGCGTGGCGCCGTCGCATTTCGAAACGACAGAAGGTTGCAGGAAGAGATTTTCAGGGAGAAGTACTGCCGGAGCGGAGTGATTCGGCGCCAAGTGCGGCACGCGACGAAAGAAAGCCAAGCTGAGCCTGCAGATAACTGACGACGACCTGGATTGGAACTTGTCCCATGCTTGGTTTGACCCACCTGCTCGTTACGCCACTTCGGTGTCAGCCGAGGGTCCGGAAGCCAACGACAGACAGTACTGGTACTGGGTTTCAATACGTGTTGCCGCCATGCGTAGGAACAACGAAGCACTCCGGATGCTTCTTGACAATGGAGCGAACATTGATGCCCAGTGTTCCGGCCTGTGTGACTGTGCGGCACCAACGATGGACGGCGAGACCGCTTGGAAGTCTCTCTCGGGCCTCAACAGAATCGCTCAGTGTGGACAGCTTGCATGTGGCCATGTGCTCGGGAAACGAGGAGGCCGTTCGCCTGCTCGTTTCCCGGGGCGCTCCATTGAGGTGGGCAGCTTGGTACGAGAACCATACTCACCGCATCGCAAATCACGGCTCTCAATCACCGCATTTCACTACGCTGTTTGGATTGGATATGTCACGGTGTGCAGCCTTCTACTGAAAGACCCCCTGTCCGAGCATTTCCTTGATCCCCTAACCGCTGAGACCAGAGCGCGTTCATTTATGCGGCAACCGGAGGACATATCCGAACTGTGGGCAAGCTCTTGCTGGAGAATGGCGCCACATTCCACTACTATGAAGTCTTGACTATCACTTCCCTGGCCTGGGGCGGGGCCAGCATCCTCAAATTTAATCCGCTTCGACAATTGTGCACGATGTACAGGTTGGCTGATTGCCGCTGGTTGATTCGATACTGCCAGAAGTTATAGCCGGACGGACCCGCGACTGGTATATTCACGCGGGTTCTGGCTTCTCTCTGCGTTTTGAAAGAGCCAGCAGTGTTCAGCTAGCTGCCGCTCAGAGAGCAGCAAGATCAGTGGTACGCCTTGATTGACGAGATTGACTGGAACGAACGCATCGCGATCCGTGAGAAAGCCATCACACGATCTCAGCGCCAGAGGCTGTTGCTCGCCGAAACTGTCCTTAGATTAGGCGCCGATCCCAACCAGCGAGAGAGAGTTCATCATGGTTCGTTGCCTGTCGTGGGACCAAACACCCTTCAATGGAGATATGAGTACCACACTTCTCTCCAGCTTGCAGCGCAGTCAGGCTCCACAGAGATGGCCCAACTGATCATCAAAGCCGGGCCCAGAGCGATAGGATAGTCAGCCTCATCGAGAACGGATACTCCTTTGACAAGCCGGCGAAAGAGCTGCCCCTGAAGTACGCAATTCTCAACGCGCTCAAACGCGCCCGTTTCGGCGAGACCGATCTCAGCACTGTGCAAGCCCTCCTCGAAGCTGGTTGTTCGTTAGCCGACAGAGACTCCCAGTCAATTTTGACGACCATCCAGTTCATCAGAAGTTACTTTGACCCTCCTTCACCACATTACGAGTGAGTTTGGCTCAGCATCCAGCGAATGGTCTTGCAACACGGCACGGCCACAACAACTACGGAGGCCAACTGGGTCGCATTGTCCTGAACACCTGCGCACTCGGAAACCTGACTTAATGATGCTCGAGTCAGCGCGGCCCATCTCCGGCTTCGCATGGTCGACGCACTGGACATGGTCCGGCGGGCCATCTTCGGCACTGTGTTCCGGCATCGAGAGGGGACGTCCGAGCACCTCGAGCTTTTATCCTGGGCTCTGCGTCAGTGTCTGAAATGCGAGGGATTCTTGATTAATCGCAAGAGGGACCTGTTAAATCTTGTTGAGGAAGTGTGAAGCGCGGGGAAGAACAGGATGCTGACATCGTGAAGAAGTTTGTCAAAATGAAGATGCGGAAACGCCCATACCAGTCCCGGAGAAAAGCGAGAGGAAAGCCCAGAGCTAAGGAATGGTTTTTGGGCAGAGTCGTCTGACTCTGGGACTTTGTTAAACCCATCTCCAGTTGTGCGGCATGTGAAGAAGGCACGAATGGACTGAGAAGATCAGGTTAGCGTATGTCGACCTAAGGGGGTGAAACAGGCCAAGGTTTGCAGGAGTATCGGCGCTGCAAGACACTTGCTTATGGAAACGCGGCCCGTGGGAACTGGAATTCGGCTGTGGCGGGACTGCTTCAAACAATACTCTTGGGTTTAACATTTTGCTGGGAAGAGTCGATTCGAGTCGGTGGCGACACATGGGTGGCCAGGTGAGGATCTATTTGTTGAAGCTACATTAGATGAGCCAGCGGCCACTATTGGGCGTGTGTAAAGATAAAGTGATCTGGCTCAGGACCAACAACGAACTTCGACGTCTAGTGATTCCCGTTGCCGTAGGGTCACTCTCTTCATGCTTTGTCTTATGCGACACCAAAACAGCCCAACGCTGGTTTGTTTGTTTAGCATGTTACAGTGACATTAGTGGTAAAGAAAAGAAGCAATAAAAGACCCAAAAGGTTGATCAAGAAAGGGGAGATGAAGTATGTGATAAGGGGGAAGGATTAGAGGGGCAAGAAAAGGAAGAAATAGGGAGCAAAGAAGATAATAGAAGAAAGATAAAGAAGGAAGACGATGAAAACGAGAATAGAGGAAAGAAAGATGAGAGGAAAGATAACGTTAACGTACATGATAAGCGAACGTCCCAGACATGCGAACGTCCCACAAAAACACATCTGCACAACAAATTTCAACATGATTCAACCAACACTGACAAAAATGATTGAAATTACTCGGAATGGTCTTCCTCGGGCACTTTTGCAACTCCTTGACAGGTGCGTGCATTATGGCCAGGCTCGCCGCATCTGCCACAACGCCGCGTGCGCGTCTCGATCCTCGGCTTCCGACCACTACCCGCCTGCGTTTCCGCCCGTATCTGCACCGCAACATCTCTCTGGGCTTGCAAATCCTGTCCATCCTGCACAGTAAGCGATC